TTTAATATTTATACCTTTCACCACACTGTGGTACAGGGTATTATGCCTTTGTGCATATGTATGTAACAGGCAAAAGGAAACGAGATAGACACATGGTTCCTTTTGAGAATATGCATAGAATCATTTATGCATGTCCGAATCGATGAAATTTGGATGAAATTTGGCACAGCTCATTTCTTTGGCCCAAGGACGAACCCTATAGAAATTGGGAAAAATCGGTTCCGATTTAGATATAACTCCCATATATATTTTCGTCCAATTTAAGGTACATGGTGCGCCAAAGTCCCTTAATATCATTCGATTTGCACGAAATTTCGCACAGCATACTGAATTTAGCCTAGAATGATGTGCGCAAAATTTCGTGAATATCGGTTCAGGTTTAGATATAGCTCCCATATATATGTTCGTCCGATTTCCGTAAATGGTGCACCAAATTCCCTATATATTTCTCGATTAGCACGAAACTTGGCACAGTGTACTGAATTAAGCCTAGAATGATGTGTGCTAAGTTTCGTGAAAATCGGTTGAGATTTCGATATAGCTCCCATATATATTTTCGTCCGATTTAGGGTAAATGGTGCACCGAAGTATCTAATTATCGTTCGATTTACACGAAACTTGGCACAGTGTACTGAATTAAGCCTAGAATGACGTGGGCTAAGTTTCGTGAAAATCGGTTCAGATTTAGATATAGCTCCCATATATATTTTCGTTCGATTTAATGTAAATGTTGCACCAAATACCCGATATATTCTTCGATTTGCACGAAATTTGGTATAGCGTACTGAATTAAGACGATGTCTATTAAATTTCGTGAAGATCGGATCAGATTTAGATATAGCTCTCATATATATATATATATATATATATATTCGTCCGATTTAATGTAAATGGTGCACCAAATACCATATATATTTTTCGATTTGCATTTTGTTTTTGCAAAATAGTCAGGCTGAATCCCAATTTGTTGTTCTTATAAAAAAGCAACTATTTATTAGTGGGGAATGTATGGCATAGTTTGCCGAGGGGTAAGGCAGGGAAGACTATAGTTTCAGATCACGTCACTGATCCTCATCAGTTCCCTTAGTTTTTTGTTGGGATATTCTCCCCAGAAGCTATTGCTTCTATAAAAAAAAACCGTTCATACCCAAATGTCTCTTGTAACAAAGCGAAGTACTTAGCTGACCAGCGACATAAACTGTATGAGAATTTCGCTGGAGCCTCACTGTCAAGTTTCGTGAAGATCCGTTCAGATTTAGATATAGCTCACATATATATATTCGTCCGATTTTACATAAATGGTGCACCAAAATCCTAATGTTTGTCCGATTAACACGAAATTTTGCACAACGTATTAAATTGAGACTTGAATGACGTCATTGGGTTTTGTTAAAATTGGTGCAGCCATAGCTTCCATATGTATTTCGAACGGGTGTCTGATTGAAATTCAATTTTTAACAGTGCGGCGTACCGAATAGAATGTATCAAGTTTGCTTTAAATCGTTTTCCATAAATTTGCCTCATGGTACGCAGACGACTCTAAATCTGCCCGAATGAAATTAAATTTATCATGGAACATGAGTATGTTCCTTCGAAGGAACATTGTAAGGATGCATATGTATAATGTGGTGAAGGGTATCATATAGTCGGCCCAGTCCGACTTTACTACTTTCCTTACCGGTTTTTATTTGTAAGAAAATTAATTAAATTAATTTAATTTAAACTTTTTTTTTATAAATTTTTAATATGAATTTAACAATTTTCTAAAAACAAATATTTTCTAATATTAATATTTCTAAAAAATAATATTTTTCAAATTTTGCAGATTTTCTTCATCGAAAAAATTCGATCAATATTTATTATGCATGCATATTGTTAATTGCTTCATTATATTTATACTAATAATGCATAAACAAAAAACACTTTATAAATAAAAATGACACTATATAATTCACAAAATTTACTAAACATTTTGTAAATATAAATTTTGTACAAATTGTAAAAAAAATAATCTTGTACGAATTGTAAAAACTTAAAAATATTAAAATATTAAAATTAAATATAAGTGTTTTTTGTTATAGCAGGAAAAACACATGAAAAATATAAAGAATATTTTTTTAAATAAAAAAAACATTTAACATTGCTATTCAAAGATAACTATAAAAATAAAATTTTATATAATTTTTTTTATATATAATTATTGCATTGATTTAATTTATAATACAATTTTAATATGAAAGTAATCAAATATTTACAATTTTAAAAAAAATGTTGCCAAAAAATTTAAAACAAAAAAAAATCTCAAGTTCTCTACAAAAAATAATCAAAGTAAAAGTTTTATTAACTCGATTCAAAATAAAAAATTCGAAAATAATAACTACTAATATACTATTAAAATAAATTAATTATATACAAAAAGCAGTTTTGGTAAAATAAATTTTAATAAAAATTGTTTATATTTAATTTTTATTAAAATTTATTTTACTAAAACAAATAAATAATTTATTTTAATTATATTTTAGTAAGAAATATTTTTATATATCGTTTTAATTTGAATCGGGATAATGTAATATATTTATACAATTAAAAATAATAAAATATAATTGGATAAATACTAATAATATTAAAAAGTGGAAAAAATTTTTTTAAATATTTTTTTCATAACTTACACATTAAAAATAAATATTTTTATAATTAAAAATAATTACTGCTTTTCAATAATATGAATTATATAATAAATCGCCAAAATCTCATAAAAAATATTCTTTATATATTTCTTGTTAAAAATAGTGGTAGTGGTTCAATTTTGTTATCTCATTTACCAAGGCTCTTAAATATTTTTATTAACTTGTATTTTTTCTCCCGTTTTTTCTTGTACTCATTTAAAAACGCAAATTTTACTCATTGTGCACCACCAAAAGATGGCAAATACTTGGTTCTGCCCTCTGGAGAATTGCACATTCGTGAAGTCGGTCCCGAAGATGGTTACAAGAGTTATCAGTGCCGTACCAAACACAGATTGACCGGTGAAACCAGATTGAGTGCTACCAAGGGACGTTTGGTGATTACAGGTAAGTTGGAATAACAATTTTCTTACTATTTTCATTTATTTGTAGTAAAGTATTTAATATTTTTATTATATATCGAAATATGAAAAAAAGGAAAACAGATCATTTGATGAAAAATATTAATTATTATAAAAAAATATTGAATGTTTTTACAAATTATAAATAAAAAAGATGGAACAAATCTATGAATCAACATATTTAAAAAATAATTTTATATATATAATAAAGAAATTTAACGTGTTTTTGTTATTAAAAAAATATTTTTTTAATAAAAAAATATTAGAATTTTTTATAATATATATATATATATATATATATAATTTAAGAAAATATTAAAAAGTTATTTTTTTATAAATTAAAAAATATTATAATTTTTTTATAAGGAAAAAATATTTTATTAAAAAAATAAAATTATTTTATTTAAAAAAATTAAAAATTTTATTTTTTTTTTAATTTACATTTTTTAAAAATTAAAAAATTCAATCTAATAAAAATTTATTTGAAAAATAAGAAATATTTTATTTTTTACATGAACAAAAAATATATATTGTTTTTGTATTTGCTACTAAATTAAAATAATAAATATTTTTTTAATTTAAAATATTTCGATATATACAATTTTTATTTGAAAATAAAGCGTAATAATAGCAAATAAAATATCTTTCATATTTAAAACATGTTTTCAAGTAATATTTTTATATTAAAATATTGAAAAATCTTTCAAATGATTTGTTTTTCTTTTGTTATAAAACATATGGAAATATTTCAAAAGAACTTTTGTTTCGAAAAAAATTAAAATAACGTGAATTTATTTTAAATAACTCGTTCTAATAATTATTAATAAAAATATATCTTTAGAAATTTTTATTAATATTAAAATAAATAAAAATATTAATATTTGAGTTTTTGTCTAGCGAAATCAATTAATTAAAATAATCAATTAAACCTTTTGAAATATTTTCATATTAAAAGGAAAGTGTTTAAAAAAAATAAAAAATAAAAAAACTTTTCATGCACTTCGTTATGTTCATTCATTTTTATTTAAAGAACCAACTTTAAAAATAAAAATCTTGTTGTTTTTTATTTTTTTTTAACAGCAAGAAAGGGATTGAGTTGGCATACCTAAAAAATAAAAAACACTTTCCTTTAATAATATTTTAATAAATCAAGACATTTTGTATTCTATAAAATGCAAGAAAAAATAAATAATTTTCAATTTAAAAAATTAAAATATACTTCAAAATAAAATAATTATAAAAATTATTTTTCATATAAAATTGAAAATGTCTTGTTTTTTTCGTTTCTATAGGGAAATATTTTTTTTAAATAAATTTTGAAAATATTTCCCATTATCACATAAAATAAAAACAAAAAAAAAAACTTCAATCCGCATTGCTCATCTCAAAACATAAATGAATTTTTTGTTTTTATTTTTATGTTATTACTTATTACATTTAATTTATAAGCTGTATTTGTAGATTGCACGGGGGAAAGCAAAACATTTTCAAAGACATGATGGAAAAAACCACAACAATCAAAAAGATTTTTAGCTTAAAATCTTTTTCTTTGAGCGTAAAAAAGATTACAAAAAAATAACTATAATAAAATTAATTAAATATTATAGAAACAAAAATATTTTTTTTTTAATTATAAAAAATTATATTGACAGTTATTACATAAAAATAGATTTTTGAATGAAATAGATTAATGAATTTATGTTATTATTTAATAAAATAAAAAATATATTAAAAAAATAAATAATATAAATATATATATATATTAAATAAAATATATATATATATAAAATATAAATGTATAAAAAATAATATAAATATATAAAATACATAAAAAATATAAAATATATAAATATATTTTAATATTTATTATATATATATATATATTTGTTGTAACATGTTTTCTAATAAAATATTCGATTTTAATAATTATTTTTTAATATATTTTTTACGTAGTTTTTATATTTTAAAAATATATCAATATATTCATTTAAAATAAGTAATATATTTTAATTAAAAATTTTGTTAAAAATATAAATTTTAAAAATCCGCGTTATATCACTTTGAAAATGTATTGCCTAATTTTCCCCATATATATTAATATATTATTACAAAATATATATTGAAAACTGCCTGAATGTTGGGATAGGGTACCCTAAAAAATTTGTTGCGCGTTTTAAATTGAAATTTTTGTAATGAAATTATAAAATATAAAAAATGTAAACGATTTCAATGTAACGTAAAGTAAATTAACGTAATTTCAAAATTAAAACGTAATAAAAATTAAAAATTTGCCTCAAAATTAAAATGAAAATAATGCTTGACTTGAGCTTGAGTAAAATGGTGCGCTTTTCCAAACAAACAATGAAACAAAATTATCGTAAAATAAGAGCCCTTTTCCAAAAACACATATTTTCTATTTCTTACTTGCAAGGTAAGTCCCTAGAAACCAAGAAGAATATATACAAATTCTATATAATTAATATTAAATATTTAAGAAATATATTTTTTTATAAAAAGAAATCAAATTATTTAAAGAAGAAATATTATTTATAAATAAAAAAACACTTTTACAGAACCAGTTGGTAGGGTATCACCAAAATTCCCCTCCCAACAAGTAAGCAGTACCTTTGTAGCGGCCTCATATCAAAGTTTAACTTTATTGTGCCCGGCTCAAGCCTATCCGGCACCGGTATTTAGGTGGGTTCTTACAGTTTTTTTTTTTTTTTGAAATTGAGGATTAAGAAAGTTTTATTTAATCTAAAAAAATATTTCTGTCCGGCTGTAGCTTATCCGATATTTAGGTAGGTTCTAACATTTTTTTTTCAATTTAAGAATTAAGAAATTCTTATTGATTTTGAAAATAAAAATTTCTGTCCAGCTCAAGACTATTCGGTTTTTATGTGGGTTCTTACAGTTTTTTTATTTGGTGTTACGTAAAAATGAGGAAAGCTTTTCTCGTCTTATTGATTTTGAAACAAAAAATATTTCTGTCCAACTTAAGCCTATCCGATATTTAGATGGTTTCTTACAGTTTTTTTTTTTTTGTAATATGGTGTTAATAAAAAATGAAATTTTGAGGACGCCTGTCTCAAATTTCAGTTCAGTTTCCCATGGATTTACACCTTGAAAACCTTTCTAATTTTTTGATAATGTCTGTTTTAGAACCCGTGGCCAGTGTAGGTCCTCGTCTATTAACCGGCAATGATATTAAAGTTATTGATGTGACCTCAAATTCGACCATAACTCTGTTATGTCCAGCACAGGCTTATCCGGTGCCATTTTTTAGGTAATTTAAATATTTATTATTAAAAAATATATATTATACAACATTGCTTAAATGATTGATAAATGCCGATTTGTAGATCCTTGTTTTGAACATCAACTCCTCGTTCATCAACTCTTAACTCAAGAAAAAACTACGTTTTTATTGAATTTTTCTGAATAGAGCTCGGGAATATAATTTACGGAGCAAGTCGATATTTCTCGTTGCTATTCTGGAGAGGATCTAGTTCCTTACTATAGTTCATTTGTTCCAGCTCATGAATAGTTTATTTGAATCTCTCTATCCTTCATCGTTATTTTTGTTTTTTTTTTGTTCACAAAGTTTTTGAATTGTTGGTGGAACGAATAAATGGAACGAATAATGGCACATTGAATAGGTAGTCCATTTAAAGCAGCTGATGTCTTAATTAACTGTCAAAGTGCGTAATTTCTACTTGAACCATGTGAAATATTATAAGGAAACATTTGACAGATGGTCGAGACAAAAACAAAGGTTTTTGTTGTGATACATCACCTTATTATTGCATCATGGAACGAATCAAATAAATAAACGAATTAAAGAGCTGAACCTAGTTCCGATCGTTCATTTCTGGGAATAGTTTCTACGAACAAATCCATTCATTGTTTAAATAAAATTAGTTCTATAGAACTCTGATGATGTAACTCTAATCCTTTAGAATCTGACAATATTGGAATAAAGAAACTAAATAGCTGAACCTAGTTCCGATCGCTCCTGCTATGTTCATACGAACTATTACATAAATTGTTTAAACAAAATTAGGTCATCAACTGGCAAAACTCCAAGTTAAGACTTTTAGCGGCGTGGGATAGAATCGAATTATAGGTACATGTAAATAGGCACCTAAGTTGAAATAAAAACTCTATAAATTCGCAAATATCCTTGTTGAAACATTCCTTGATTAAATCGCCGATTTAAAGCTATCTTTAAGTCAAAACCCTATTTTGAAATCGCTTTGTTTTTGATACATACCTATCCCAACATTTTGTATAACATTTTCCATAATATCTATAAAAATTAAAATTATTTCTCATTTTTGAAGAACCTGTTGCTAGTGTGGCTCCAAAATTTCCCAGCCAACAGACCAGTAGCAGTTTTACGGCGGCCGCTCAAAAGAGTGTGACTTTAATATGTGCCGCCCAGGCATATCCAGCGCCAATATTTAGGTGGGTTTTGTGAACGGAATTGACATTTTTAATTTTAAAATACGGCATTCACAAACTCTTATTTTATAAATATAAAAAATCAGACCTCAAAAATTAGTATTTTCAAACTATCCCAACATTTAGGGCCTTATAGTAACCTCCAGCATTTTGTTAAATATTTTAAAAATATGTGTATTTCTCTCCTCACTCAGAACCAGTTGCCAGTGTAGCCCCGCGCTTAACCACTGGCGATGAGTCGCGTATTGTCAAAGTTTTTCTTACGAAAAGTGCAACTCTGTTGTGTCCAGCCCAGGCATATCCGGTGCCATTTTTTAGGTAACATAACTTTTTTTTTAAATAAAAATACAATGTTAGTTTGCAGCAGTTTTTATAAACAGTAAAATATAAGTTCAGAAAGGTTTTACAACATTAAAATAGTTATCCTTACAAAGAATTGGGATTTTTAATTCCTAAGCCCCCCACAGGTTGCCTTAGCCAACATTCAAACAGTTTTCTTTAGGCAGAAATCAGTTATTCAAC